ATGAATTAGGCTCCGGGATATTACAAGGATTTATTAGCACAGTAATATCCTGGAGTTTATTGGCAATATAATATAGACTTTTTTGTGCAATAATTTTGAGTTAATGTACTTTATATTAAGTTTCATACGTGATGTCCTCGGCGCTTAGCACTAATTGGTTGTAGTTACTTTAAGAACCTATTGACAAGCACCCACCAGTGTACATGTGTGTACATGAGTGTACATGTGTGTACATAGTCTATTAAAGTCCAGACTATGGCGGGGGGTTAACTTAATCCCTCCTTACCTTCTGTACTTACCAGGTCATAGACCTTACCTTCTGTACTAGGGGCACACTTACCAGGTCATAGACCTTACCTTCTGTACTAGGGGCACACTTACCAGGTCATAGACCTTACCTTCTGTACTAGGGGCACACTTACCAGGTCATAGACCTTACCTTCTGTACTAGGGGCACACTTACCAGGTCATAGACCTTACCTTCTGTACTAGGGGCACACTTACCAGGTCATAGACCTTACCTTCTGTACTAGGGGCACACTTACCAGGTCATAGACCTTACCTTCTGTACTAGGGGCACACTTACCAGGTCATAGACCTTACCTTCTGTACTAGGGGCACACTTACCAGGTCATAGACCTTACCTTCTGTACTAGGGGCACACTTACCAGGTCATAGACCTTACCTTCTGTACTAGGGGCACACTTACCAGGTCATAGACCTTACCCTTCTGTACTAGGGGCACACTTACCAGGTCATAGACCTTACCTTCTGTACTAGGGGCACACTTACCAGGTCATAGACCTTACCTTCTGTACTAGGGGCACACTTACCAGGTCATAGACCTTACCTTCTGTACTAGGGGCACACTTACCAGGTCATAGACCTTACCTTCTGTACTAGGGGCACACTTACCAGGTCATAGACCTTACCTTCTGTACTAGGGGCACACTTACCAGGTCATAGACCTTACCTTCTGTACTAGGGGCACACTTACCAGGTCATAGACCTTACCTTCTGTACTAGGGGCACACTTACCAGGTCATAGACCTTACCTTCTGTACTAGGGGCACACTTACCAGGTCATAGACCTTACCTTCTGTACTAGGGGCACGCTTACCAGGTCATAGACCTTACCTTCTGTACTAGGGGCACACTTACCAGGTCATAGACCTTACCTTCTGTACTAGGGGCACGCTTACCAGGTCATAGACCTTACCTTCTGTACTAGGGGCACGCTTACCAGGTCATAGACCTTACCTTCTGTACTAGGGGCACGCTTACCAGGTCATAGACCTTACCTTCTGTACTAGGGGCACGCTTACCAGGTCATAGACCTTACCTTCTGTACTAGGGGCACGCTTACCAGGTCATAGACCTTACCTTCTGTACTAGGGGCACGCTTACCAGGTCATAGACCTTACCTTCTGTACTAGGGGCACGCTTACCAGGTCATAGACCTTACCTTCTGTACTAGGGGCACGCTTACCAGGTCATAGACCTTACCTTCTGTACTAGGGGCACGCTTACCAGGTCATAGACCTTACCTTCTGTACTAGGGGCACGCTTACCAGGTCATAGACCTTACCTTCTGTACTAGGGGCACGCTTACCAGGTCATAGACCTTACCTTCTGTACTAGGGGCACGCTTACCAGGTCATAGACCTTACCTTCTGTACTAGGGGCACGCTTACCAGGTCATAGACCTTACCTTCTGTACTAGGGGCACGCTTACCAGGTCATAGACCTTACCTTCTGTACTAGGGGCACGCTTACCAGGTCATAGACCTTACCTTCTGTACTAGGGGCACGCTTACCAGGTCATAGACCTTACCTTCTGTACTAGGGGCACGCTTACCAGGTCATAGACCTTACCTTCTGTACTAGGGGCACGCTTACCAGGTCATAGACCTTACCTTCTGTACTAGGGGCACGCTTACCAGGTCATAGACCTTACCTTCTGTACTAGGGGCACGCTTACCAGGTCATAGACCTTACCTTCTGTACTAGGGGCACGCTTACCAGGTCATAGACCTTACCTTCTGTACTAGGGGCACGCTTACCAGGTCATAGACCTTACCTTCTGTACTAGGGGCACGCTTACCAGGTCATAGACCTTACCTTCTGTACTAGGGGCACGCTTACCAGGTCATAGACCTTACCTTCTGTACTAGGGGCACGCTTACCAGGTCATAGACCTTACCTTCTGTACTAGGGGCACGCTTACCAGGTCATAGACCTTACCTTCTGTACTAGGGGCACGCTTACCAGGTCATAGACCTTACCTTCTGTACTAGGGGCACGCTTACCAGGTCATAGACCTTACCTTCTGTACTAGGGGCACGCTTACCAGGTCATAGACCTTACCTTCTGTACTAGGGGCACGCTTACCAGGTCATAGACCTTACCTTCTGTACTAGGGGCACGCTTACCAGGTCATAGACCTTACCTTCTGTACTAGGGGCACGCTTACCAGGTCATAGACCTTACCTTCTGTACTAGGGGCACGCTTACCAGGTCATAGACCTTACCTTCTGTACTAGGGGCACGCTTACCAGGTCATAGACCTTACCTTCTGTACTAGGGGCACGCTTACCAGGTCATAGACCTTACCTTCTGTACTAGGGGCACGCTTACCAGGTCATAGACCTTACCTTCTGTACTAGGGGCACGCTTACCAGGTCATAGACCTTACCTTCTGTACTAGGGGCACGCTTACCAGGTCATAGACCTTACCTTCTGTACTAGGGGCACGCTTACCAGGTCATAGACCTTACCTTCTGTACTAGGGGCACGCTTACCAGGTCATAGACCTTACCTTCTGTACTAGGGGCACGCTTACCAGGTCATAGACCTTACCTTCTGTACTAGGGGCACGCTTACCAGGTCATAGACCTTACCTTCTGTACTAGGGGCACGCTTACCAGGTCATAGACCTTACCTTCTGTACTAGGGGCACGCTTACCAGGTCATAGACCTTACCTTCTGTACTAGGGGCACGCTTACCAGGTCATAGACCTTACCTTCTGTACTAGGGGCACGCTTACCAGGTCATAGACCTTACCTTCTGTACTAGGGGCACGCTTACCAGGTCATAGACCTTACTTCTGTACTAGGGGCACCTTACCAGGTCATAGACCTTACCTTCTGTACTAGGGGCACGCTTACCAGGTCATAGACCTTACCTTCTGTACTAGGGGCACGCTTACCAGGTCATAGACCTTACCTTCTGTACTAGGGGCACGCTTACCAGGTCATAGACCTTACCTTCTGTACTAGGGGCACGCTTACCAGGTCATAGACCTTACCTTCTGTACTAGGGGCACGCTTACCAGGTCATAGACCTTACCTTCTGTACTAGGGGCACGCTTACCAGGTCATAGACCTTACCTTCTGTACTAGGGGCACGCTTACCAGGTCATAGACCTTACCTTCTGTACTAGGGGCACGCTTACCAGGTCATAGACCTTACCTTCTGTACTAGGGGCACGCTTACCAGGTCATAGACCTTACCTTCTGTACTAGGGGCACGCTTACCAGGTCATAGACCTTACCTTCTGTACTAGGGGCACGCTTACCAGGTCATAGACCTTACCTTCTGTACTAGGGGCACGCTTACCAGGTCATAGACCTTACCTTCTGTACTAGGGGCACGCTTACCAGGTCATAGACCTTACCTTCTGTACTAGGGGCACGCTTACCAGGTCATAGACCTTACCTTCTGTACTAGGGGCACACTTACCAGGTCATAGACCTTACCTTCTGTACTAGGGGCACGCTTACCAGGTCATAGGGGCACACTTACCAGGTCTTACCTTCTGTACTAGGGGCACACTTACCAGGTCATAGACCTTACCTTCTGTACTAGGGGCACGCTTACCAGGTCATAGACCAGGTCTTACCTTCTGTACTAGGGGCACACTTACCAGGTCATAGACCTTACCTTCTGTACTAGGGGCACACTTACCAGGTCATAGACCTTACCTTCTGTACTAGGGGCACACTTACCAGGTCATAGACCTTACCTTCTGTACTAGGGGCACACTTACCAGGTCATAGACCTTACCTTCTGTACTAGGGGCACACTTACCAGGTCATAGACCTTACCTTCTGTACTAGGGGCACACTTACCAGGTCATAGACCTTACCTTCTGTACTAGGGGCACACTTACCAGGTCATAGACCTTACCTTCTGTACTAGGGGCACACTTACCAGGTCATAGACCTTACCTTCTGTACTAGGGGCACACTTACCAGGTCATAGACCTTACCTTCTGTACTAGGGGCACACTTACCAGGTCATAGACCTTACCTTCTGTACTAGGGGCACACTTACCAGGTTATAGACCTTACCTTCTGTACTAGGGGCACACTTACCAGGTCATAGACCTTACCTTCTGTACTAGGGGCACACTTACCAGGTCATAGACCTTACCTTCTGTACTAGGGGCACACTTACCAGGTCATATTGGCCTTCTGTACTAGGGACACACTTTAGGGTCAAATGGTCTTTCAAACTACCATAAAACATCTAGTTTCGAACCTTATGAAGTAGGGTTACAAGGTTTCCATTTGGTATCAAATGATTCATATTAGGTCAGGGCGCCTAACAGCTGGGTGGACAGTGCTTCGGATTCGTAGTCGTCAGGTTCCGGGTTCGATTCCCGGTGGAGGCAAATGGGCAAAATGCTTCTTTCATCCTGATGCCCCTGTTACCTAGCAGTAAATAACTACCTGGGAGTTAGACAGCTGCTACGGGCTGCTTCCCGGTGTGTGTAACAAAAAGGCCTGGTCGAGGACCCTGCCGCTGGGACGCTAAAACCCTGAAATCAAATCATCTCAAGATTAGGTAATCTATTGAGGTCTGAAATGGTATTTGGTTAAGAAGCACCTGGTCTAGCGTCAGTACAGTTAAGCTCATTAAAGTTAGAACAATAGAGCGGGTAATAGGTCAGTCAAGTTACAATATGCGAGGTGTTAACATGTCCCTTCTCCCGCAGGCCGCAGACCAGGACCAACCTCCAGCAACCATCTTTCGCCAGGTTCGGGCGCAACTTCAGAGTGGACGATGAGTAAGTTATTAACTTAGCAATAATGCCTACTTCTATATTTTAATCAAACTACAAACGTTACATATTTACTTTTTTAAGATTCGAATATGGATTAATATTAATTGCTATAGTCTAAAAATATGAGTGGACCTTTGACAAGCTGGTGGCATCTTGTCCCCATCAAGGCCACTAGAGTACTCACCTAATTGTGCTTGCGGGGGTTGAGCTTTGGCTCTTTGGTCCCGCCTCTCAACTGTCAATCAACTGGTGTAGATTCCTGAGCCTACTGGGCTCTATCATATCTACATTTGAAACTGTGTATGGAGTCAGCCTCCACCACATCACTTCCTAGAATGATAGTGTGATAGAGTGATAGAGTTAGAGTTAGAGTGATAGTGACCTTCAGGTAAATATGTTTTAGTCCTCTGCATCTTATATCTTTTAGTGTCAACATAATATCCACCAGAAAAGAGTTAATCACATTCAAGTCACTGGCTATAACATACAGTCTATATCTGTACAGCCAAGGTGGGAGTGCTAGAGGACGAGACCTCTACCACTTGCTACAGGTCCCACATAAAACTGATTCGGTAGAGGTGGTCATGAGTCCTACCGAATCAGTTTTCATTTCCACCATAGGAAATGCCTCAGGCCATCTTATGAAGCGCTCAACACGTGGGAGTATGTGTAAGCAACCTCTGGAGGGAACAACAACTCGGCGACCCCTCTTCGCCGCCCTCCGCAGCCGCTACACATACGCCCCCCCTCCTCCCGGGATCCTCTGCATCCCCTGTTTTCTTTTTTCAAGGGATGACACTCAAGCAGGTTTCTGGGGACACTTGTTCTATCTTGCTACGCATTCGTTTTATCATTGGGGTGCTCCGCCGGAACCCGCAAAGTGATAAACCAAGAATACCAAGAATTGTAATTACTGTAAATTCAAATAATGCAGCTTTCAATTACTAATTATAGATGTAATTATTAATTGTAATTGATTTAATACATTATCATTATTACAGTTATCCGTTAATATTATTTCAGTATAATAATTTATTGTTATTCACTAATCATTATTAGTCACCATAATTAATTATCCACTTTAATTATCTGTTTTATTCGTTATAATTAGCTATTATGCTTCAACATTTAATGATCATTATAATTAATCATTTATAATTATTAATTAATTATTAATATTATTATTAATTATTCATTATTAATATTATTAAAATTAAACAAGTCCCCCACTCTGTGCGCGTTTCCAATCGCAGAAAATTTGTCTGGTGTGATTATGTGTTCTATTACATCTGTCCAGGAAGAGTTTCAGAACAGGGTTTGCACTTAAAAAAAGGGTTTTATAAATGTAATTAGCACAAGAGAATGTATTGAGTGAATTTATGTTTAACATGATTAGGGATTTAAACAGGGAAGCTGTGTGTTGTCTGAAAGCAGAGTTTGTTATTATCCTGATAGCAGATTTCTGCTGGATGATGATGGGCTTAGAGGTAGTTTGCAGAGGTTGAACTCCATGCACAGATACCATAAGTAAGATAGGGATAGATAAGTGCATAATAGAGTGAAAGGAGAGCAAAGTAGGGTACATAATATCTGATCTTAGAGAGTATGCCAACTGTTTTAGAAACCTTTTTAGTTATGTGTTCAATGTGGGTGCTGAAGTTGAGTCTGTTGTCTAAGTATAGGCCAAGGAACTTTCCATCATTATTATTGCTAATGTTTACATTATTTGATTTGCTTCCAAATAAGATGTAATAGGTCTTTTCTATGTTTAGTGTTAGTTTGTTGGTTGACATCCATAAGTGGACTTTTTTTTAGTACATTGTTTACAACATTATTTAATATGAATGGGTTGGGGTCAGAGTAGATGAGGGTAGTATCATCAGCAAACAAAATTGGTTTAAGCACGTTAGAGACATTAGGCAGATCATTGATGTATATAAGAAATAGGAGGGGTCCCAAGATGCTGCCCTGTGGCACCCCTACGGTTAGTGGTAGAGTGGGAGAGGTTACCTCATTAATGGCCACACATTGGTGTCTGTCACTAAGATAGGATCGGATATAGTCCAGGGCAAGGCCGTGAATTCCATAATGGTGGAGTTTAAGTAAGAGGTAATTATGGTTAACAGTATCAAAAGCCTTTCTCAGGCCAATGAAGAGTATAATCGGAAACTCACTGTTGTCAAGGGCTGAGTAGATTAAGTGAAGCAGACTAACAATTGCATCATTCGTACCCTTTTGGGAGCGGAAGCCAAACTGACAGGGACTTAGTATATTGAATTTTACGAGATAGGAGTAAAGCTGTTTGTAAATTATTTTTGACAATAAAGGTAGATTTGATATGGGTCTGTAATTATTTATGTCTGCCGTGTTACCTCCTTTATGAACTGGCGTTACTCTTGCTTTTTTAAGGATGTCAGAGAAGGTATGACATTCTAGAGATTTATTGAACAGCAAGGCTATGGGAAGTACAAGGCCATGGGAAGCACTCTTGTATAGAATGGATGGTAACACACAGAGATCACACTAACGTGATGCATCAAATGAACAAATCCACAAGGGCCGTGACGAGGATTCGAATCTGCGTCCAGGAACATCCCAGATACTGCCTTAATCGACTGAGCTACGACAGGGTAAAAGAGTTGAAACCGAAGTTCTACTGAACTTACTGGATCCCGTAGCCTCTCCGAGGCACAAACCAGGCTTTTACACAACTCCCCCCTGCATCCGAGCTATGTCAATAGGCCGTTCTCCCTCTTCGTCCTTACATCATTACACACATAGAGATCACACTAACGTGATGCGTGTGTAATGATGTAAGGGTGAAGAGGGAGAACGGCCTATTGACATAGCTCGGGTGCAGGGGGGGGGGGGGGATCCGTAATCGTAATATTAGTAGATCCGTAATCCAGCATGTGGAGTGACCACATGTTAGTGTAAAACCCTGGTTTGTGCCTCTGAGAGGCTACGGGATCCAGTAAGTTCAGTAGAACTTCAGTTTCAACTCTTTTACCCTTTTGTAGCTCAGTCGATTAATGCAGTGTCTGGGATGCTCCTGGACGCAGGTTCGAATCCTCGTCACGGCCCTTGTGGATTTGTTCGAATGGAGGGTATTTCACTAATATTACCAGCTTTGGTTTCTCGCGAGTGAATGATGGACACAACATCTGTAGGGCTGACCGGTGAGAGAAGAGAGTTTGGATAGCTGCCTGAGATATGTGGTAACATGTGTCTGGGTCTGTGGGATTTTCCGGGCAAGGTTACCACCAATCGATGAAAAGAAGCTATTAAATTCAGTCGCTGTTTCAAGGTCTGTTGCAGGTGTATAACCATCCTTGGAGATTTTTATCTGGTTATATAAATGTTGTTTAGCTCCTTATCGAATGTCAGTGTCGATTTCTGGTTATACCATCCCTTTGATTAGGAGGCGCAGCGTAACCTCCAAATCCGAATTTTCCTAATTTATTTTCCAACTGAAATGGACCCAAAGCAGCAAGTTTTGGGACATCTGGAAGGTTAGGAGGGCAGCAAGTTTTGGGACATCTGGAAGGTTAGGAGGGCAGCAAGTTTTGGGACATCTGGAAGGTTAGGAGGGCAGCAAGTTTTGGGACATCTGGAAGGTTAGGAGGGCAGCAAGTTTTGGGACATCTGGAAAGTTAGGAGGGCAGCAAGTTTTGGGACATCTGGAAGGTTAGGAGGGCAGCAAGTTTTGGGACATCTGGAAGGTTAGGAGGGCAGCAAGTTTTGGGACATCTGGAAGGTTAGGAGGGCAGCAAGTTTTGGGACATCTGGAAGGTTAGGAGGGCAGCAAGTTTTGGGACATCTGGAAGGTTAGGAGGGCAGCAAGTTTTGGGACATCTGGAAGGTTAGGAGGGCAGCAAGTTTTGGGACATCTGGAAGGTTAGGAGGGCAGCAAGTTTTGGGACATCTGGAAGGTTAGGAGGGCAGCAAGTTTTGGGACATCTGGAAGGTTAGGAGGGCAGCTAGTTTTGGGACATCTGGAAGGTTAGGAGGGCAGCAAGTTTTGGGACATCTGGAAGGTTAGGAGGGCAGCAAGTTTTGGGACATCTGGAAGGTTAGGAGGGCAGCAAGTTTTGGGACATCTGGAAGGTTAGGAGGGCAGCAAGTTTTGGGACATCTGGAAGGTTAGGAGGGCAGCAAGTTTTGGGACATCTGGAAGGTTAGGACATCTGGAAGGTTAGGAGGGCAGCAAGTTTTGGGACATCCAGCAAGTTTTGGGACATCTGGAAGGTTAGGAGGGCAGCAAGTTTTGGGACATCTGGAAGGTTAGGAGGGCAGCAAGTTTTGGGACATCTGGAAGGTTAGGAGGGCAGCAAGTTTTGGGACATCTGGAAGGTTAGGAGGGCAGCAAGTTTTGGGACATCTGGAAGGTTAGGAGGGCAGCAAGTTTTGGGACATCTGGAAGGTTAGGAGGGCAGCAAGTTTTGGGACATCTGGAAGGTTAGGAGGGCAGCAAGTTTTGGGACATCTGGAAGGTTAGGAGGGCAGCAAGTTTTGGGACATCTGGAAGGTTAGGAGGGCAGCAAGTTTTGGGACATCTGGAAGGTTAGGAGGGCAGCAAGTTTTCCTCAGGTTTCAAAACGTCACTAAAACCATAAATTTAAAGTGTCCTTTTAAGCAGACTAAGCAAAAGGACCCAAAACAGAAAACGGGACAGTACCTTACTTTCGCGAGCCACTTCCATTTTCTAGTACGGCGATTTTTAGACTTAGTTCGCATATGAGCTAAAAGCAACATAATTTGTAAGAGGACGGGTCGGTCCGCCCCAAGATGTCGAGTTCAAGCACCCCGAAAATGCATTTCCCCTGGGTTAATTTGAAGGCCATAGCTGCAGAGACGGCCACGGAATAGTGGGACATACTGGCAATGGTCAGCTGTAGTGACTCGCTACGAGGACACCATTGCAGAAGTGCAGGTCTTTGATGACCTGATCAATGATGCACTACAATATGTGTGGTGTGTTATGGAGGCTATCATGGGCTGGT